CATAATTCTTAAAATTTATTAATAAATATATTATATCACCATAAAAAATTTGTAAATTATTTTACATCAAAAAATAAAATATTTTATTCCATTAAAAATACTTTAATTGACTACCTGTGCAAAAAGTTATTTCAATTATGGTGTTTGTAATTATAACAGTATAATAGATAACTGGAATTATGATTGTTCACATGTCAACGACTATACATTAAATGGTTGTATGAAATTGATAAAGTTGTTATTATTGTTACATGGAAATAACTTTAATTGTGAACAAACACTAAAATACTCATGCTTCCGGATTTCAAAAGTTTTTGCAATGACTTTATTATAATTAAATATAAGTGATTACATTAAATTATGCCAAACATTCAATATCTAGCTTTCATCATATTTACATAATATTTACAAATATTTGTCCAAAAATGGCTACAAATCTACTGCAAGACTACCCCGATTTGAGTGACCTGTATGTGCAAAATGAACGGATGACCCGCGAGTTTGACCCGGATAGCATTAAATTCATAGGGGAAGGCACTTTTGGAGAGGTATTCAAAGCCAAACACCTTATCGACCAAAAGGAGTACGCCATCAAAACCATTGTCATAAGGCGTATGTACAGTACTGTGAACTAACTAAACAATTAAACTACTACATCGCCAATTTCAAAAATTAACTGTCAAATATCACTTACTATCAAACTTACACTGTGCCGTGTAGTCTATTTTAAGTATTAAATAACCCTGATAAATATAATATAATTTATTATCTATAGAGAACAATCTGGTGAAGGGAGTTAGGGTTAGGGAGTTATACGACGTGACGATCAGGGAGTTGAAGGTATGGGCGAAACTAGACTGCGACCACTTCACGCAATACAGGAGCTCGTGGTTAGAGGCCGGACATAAAGACAAGGAACTGGTGCTCACAGTATACATACAAATGGACTTGTGTTGGTTCACCCTGGAGGGGGCCATTCACAAAATGAGGGCACACTTCGACCGACCGGTCAACCAATTCCTGCCAACTCTGGGCTATTATATGGCCTCAGAATTGTTGATTGAAATACTGGAAGGCATTGATTACTTGCATAACTCTATACCTCCTATTATGCACCGGGATATCAAACCCAAAAACATACTGATTAAGGGTAGTCCCTATGGCAGGTTCATTAAGTTGGCTGACTTTGGGTTGGCTACGGAGCACCTGAAGGAGTCTATGACCCACACCCAAGCCATGGGTACCGACAAGTATATGCCGCCCGAAGTTAGGCTGAGTCGCTATTACGGCACGAAAGCCGATATGTATAGCATTGGAGTTACGGTTCATGAGTTGTTCAACTTTGACCTCTACAGGTATAGATCACTATAATTAGCAAATTATTAATTAAATCACTATAATTAATTATTTAATTAGCTAACTAACATATACTGGTACAATCCATTTTTATAATTATATTATTTTTCCTCTGAGATTTGAACAATTAATATACCATCTAGGTCTTGTTAGTTTTATCAGTTATTTTAAAATTTTAATTAATAATTATTTTAATCTCTCTCTCTCTCTCTCTCGCTCTCTCTCATGTAGTCCCCAACCAAAGGATGATAATTACGTGAAGATCACAACATTGAATAAAACTCTTTTGGATGGCTTTCCATCAAACAGACCCTCGTGTGCGGACACATTAAAAGCCAGACACCGATGGCATATACCCTACCGTGCGGTCAGGGATCAAATCCTTACAGATATTATCAATTGTATTGATGTTAAGAGCAGATATGATATAAATAAACAATTTGTTCAATACTTCTTACACGAGAAATACAAACACAATGAAAGTCTTAATGAATTAATGGATACCATGTAAATGCATTAATATGTTGACTTCATTTTTGTTAAACATTTATTAAAATTTTTAAAAATAAACTTGTTAATTTCAAGGTAAAGGTTATATGTTATTAGTACTTAGGTCAATAACTCTAAGTTAATAAAAGTAATATTTAATTTGATACATTTTATTTTCTAAATCAAAATAGTTTCACCCATTTAATTGGATATATTGAATGAATGCTCATTGAACTCATACCCAGAATTGGCGCCTGTATTTCAAAACTGATACCTTTCCACTCAGAATTTATATAATTATTACTGTGAACAATGAAATTATTATTTGCAATAAACATTGGCAACAATTTCGTAAAGTATTGATATTTTATACAAACAATAGTTGAAATATTGCCAAAATTGTCTAATATTGTAAGTGTAGTTATTTTGACATAACCTTCATATGAATTGCAATAGTATTCTGACACACATTCACACAATTCTGTGCTATTTTTACATTACATTCTGTAAACAGTTTGTTATTTAACACAGAGTCTGCTCTCAAGAATCGCTTGAATACTATATTATATAACATTTAAAACGTATTTTGCACTCAAATCACAACATATATCAAGAATATTCTTGAAGTAAATCAAATATTTGAATTTATATATTAATAATAACTAAAAATTAATTATGGATTCATGTGATAATCAACTGACAAGTGCTGACACATTAATATCCAGTAATAGTCAGCTAACACTACAAGACCTACCGGAGGAATGCCTTCGTCTAGTGCTGTCACACCTGCCACTGATAGACAAGTTTCGGTTGGAAAGGGTGTCCAAACTGTGGCAACACATCATATACGACATACAGTACGGCCTACGGGTCACGAAACTCACATCCAGTGCCTATTCGGCCAACTTTTGCCACACGTATGACCACAGGGTCACCAACGATGACTGGATCCCACAGCTCATGACATTCAGTTCCCGTACCCGTCAGTCACCCATCAATATATCCATAATGGAAGGGGTGTTACAGAAGTGCGGACACAGTCTGCGGGTCCTAAACCTAGATCTGGCGCTCATTGACGAGGAGGTGTTTGAAGTGATCGGTACCTACTGTCCAAATATCGAGTGTATATCCCTGTCGTCGAGCACCGGTATCACCGACGAGTGCCTACGGATTATAGTCCAGAATTGGGGTCAAAGGTTACTCCATATTAACCTGCAGTGCGCGGCCAATAGGGCCCTGTATTTCACAAACACAGGGTTAACACAATTCCTGTGCCAATGCTCTCAACTAACTGTCCTATTCTTGGCATCCATTCGCTCGCAAAAGGCCTACCGACTCAACACCGAGCACTTGGATCTTATGAAAAACATTGAATACCTGTCCGCACAGTTACCCGACTGTATGATCGGTGATAGCGGAGCCCAACACCTGACACACGTCCAGTCCCTGAGCCGGATATCTCGACTCATTAATGATGGGATTATCTACAGCCAGACAACTGTCCAGCAATTGATTGATAGCTTAAGTTATTTAAAGTGTTTGAAATCCCTGACCCTATATACCAATTGCGAGACCGGGTTGGACAAGGAGCTGATAACACTGGCTCAGGGTGTCCCGCAACTCGAGGAACTGTATTTAAAAGTAAATGTCGTAACCATCACAACGGTGGAGGCGTTGAGTTATTTTACAAACTTAAAAACACTGGACTTTTCCCTATGGAAGCCCTTCGAGACGGGATTACTTCAACTAAATCTATCGGCCCTACAGTACTGTCCGCACATACAGGTGCTCCGACTAGCTAACATACTAGTGACCGATGCCTTAATCGAAAACATTCACCAATTTGTGCCAAATTTGCGGAAAATATTTTTGCATAATATGTATGATTTGAGCGATGATACCCTTCGGTCACTCGCCCGGTGCCCACAACTCAGCCTTATTAGTATCAGTGGGACGCCTAATATAGGGGCAAATGTGACCGAAAACGGTGTGACAGCTCTGTTGGAGACCATGTCTTCCCTCTGTTTCCTTCAGATACCGATTGTTTTCGACATAACCGACGACTTGTTGTCGTGTTTTAAGCGGTTTTCTAAGAAATATCCCAATAATTACTTGTACTTTATTGGGGCTGATAGGGGACAGGCTACTAAACATATGTCCATTGATTCTGAATATAAGTTTTCAATTATTTGTAATTTAGATAATAAAAGCGGTTTTCTAAGAAATATCCCAATAATTACTTGTACTTTATTGGGGCTGATAGGGGACAGGCTACTAAACATATGTCCATTGATTCTGAATATAAGTTTTCAATTATTTGTAATTTAGATAATACAATGCAGTGATTATAGCAATGCCAATGATTTATATTTTATTTTGAATACTATTTTTACATATAATTTGAATTATAAAGATTATTGATAATTATTATTTTATTATGTTTATCTCATTGAATATTATATTTATTATATTAGTCTTAAGTTTCATTAAAAATGTAATCAATTTTATGCCAAACACTGACGACTCGTACGTATTGATCATATTTGGAGATTTCGCCCATTTTTCGGGAATGCGATTGAATTACTGTATCGGTTGTAATCTCTACTTAACGCTATGTATTGTATCACAAATCATATGTTTATATAACTATAAAACTGGTATAAAACCGACATTTCTGAAGGTATTTCATGTGATGGCCGGTGGGGCTACACCTGAGAGCGTAGGTCTCACTAATCCAGCAGATATTATAGCTTTAATTAAAAGGACAAAACTTTTGTTGAAATTAGTTGCCATTAATAACAAAATAGGAGCCCCAATGGTATCAATGTGTTTGCAATCATTACCTTATATATTGTATGGCAGTTACAATGAGATCCTGATGTATGGCATACCAAACACCGTGTTATATATGTTTTTGTATTACCACTGTTGGAATATATTTCATTATCAGACTATTTATTTTTATTTATTATGTTACTATCTAAACATCAGGGTTAAAAACATTAATAATCTTATAAACACTAAAAAGTTAAAATATTTGCATAATATTTTCAATATCCGGACAATTCATGACTTATATAATGATATCAATGAATATAACACAAAATTCTGGTCCAAATTCTTGGGTGTATTTTGGTTTACATTTGGCAGTCTATCGGTTCAAATATTATATTCATTGATTTTTGACAGACTAACCCTAACTTATAGACTATTCTGGGCATATATCTACATATTAGTTACCAGTGCCTATTTGTTTATAATAATGACGGCCTCATCGGTGGTCCATAACGTGAAAACCACTTATAAAGTACTCAATAATGTGTTTGCATTTAGTAGTAAAATTAAAACCTCAAATACACTGATGCCCACTAAGATCAAGGTAAATTGTAATAAATTGTAATGATTCAAAATGAAAAGTTGCTATAAAATTTGTATAATTTCAGTTAAGTGTATTGATTGAGAGGAATGCCGTAAAAAGAGTCGGGTTTTCATGTTATAAGTTATTTATAATAAACTATTTTCGTAGTTATGAAGTGAGTGCTGATTTCATTATAATTATTATGTAATTTATTAATAATTGCAAATTTTTTGTTGATAATAGATAATCATATTTTTTGCGGCCTTTTTCTTGAAGTTAATTGAAAACATTGAATGAATATAACTGAATAAATTAATTAGTAAATGTACCGGTATTGTATTATATAGTATTATATTATAAGTGTTAATATTATATTATAATTATATAAATGATTATAAATTTTTTTATGTTTGCAATTCTACACATATAAAAATAATTTATTTGTTTACTGGTATACCGTATATTTATGTTTTCAATATTATTAAACTATTCAATATCAAATATGAATTCAACTTAGTGATAAACAATAATTATTTGAACCATAGAGTGCAATCTGTACAAGGGAAATCAATATTTATTATTAATTCATAACTAACACTGAATTGAGATATTAATTATGTTATGCTTGGTTTCAATTTAATTATATTTTTACTCGAAAAATAATTACAACATACAGTACCGGTATATATTGCATTCAATAAAAACTCAAACAAAATCTAGCAAAAACCTAATTTCATAACAATTCAAACATGATTTCACAAATAAATCCAAACAAACTTTTACCACAAAATCTAATCTTAGAGTCAGTGGACAAACACTTATACAGAATCGGCTTATATTTAACTGATAACGAGTGCTTAAGACCTAATTTATACCACAAACCTATTATTATATTTATTATAATAGTCTTAAGTTTCATTAAAAATGTAATAAATTTTATGCCAAACACTGACGACTCGTACGTATTGATCATATTTGGAGATTTCGCCCATTTTTCGGGAATGCGATTGAATTACTGTATCGGATGTAATCTCTACTTAACGCTATGTATTGTATCACAAATCACATGCTTTTATAATTATATGAATGGCATAAACCCGACATTTCTGAAAGTATTTCATATGATGGCCGGTAGGACTACACCTGAGAGTGTAGGCCTCACTAATCCACACAATATAATGGCTTTAATTAAAAGGACAAAGCTGTTATTAAAGATAGTTGCTATTAATAACAAATTCGGAGCTCCAATACTAGCTTTGTGTTTGCAATCATTTTCATATATTCTGTATTGTAGTCACACAGAGATCTTGATGTATGGCATACCAAATACCTTGCTATATATGCTTCTGTATTATCACTGTTGGAATATTTTCCACTATCAAGCAATTTATTTTTATTTGTTATGCTACTACTTAAATATTAGAATCAACAATATTAATATACAATTTTATAGCAAAAAACTAAAACATTTAATTAATATATCTATTATCCGTTCACTTCATATGTTGTACAATGATATTAATGAATATAACACTAAATTCTGGTCCAAATTCTTGGGTGTATTTTGGTTCACATTCGG